GCGTGAATGTCGCTATTGTATGAATGTTTTTCTAAGGAATAAGAACCCCCCAGCACTCTCAAAATGTGTGGAAAGAACATGGCAAGATATTTTTTTAGTAAAACCAACATCATTTTTAATCTTTGTATGTTTTTAACTTTTTCTAAGATATTTCTCGTACTTGTAAAATGTTAATGCAACTTTAAGGTCTGTCACTGGTATTAAATAAGGCACTTTCTCTTCTATTATCGGTCAATGTATGTTCACACAAATTAAATCCATATGTTATGTAAGTCATACTGTGCTATGCTTCACAATGTGCTAAGAAAATACTACAATGCAAAACCTAGATGCAATATTTGCTCTATTGGTAGCATATGCGCTAACCAGCACTTGCGTAAATGTCAGCTGTGTCTATGATCAAAAAATGAAATAGTGGATTGATTCAGTACACAATAAATGTAATTGATAGTTTCAATGAGAAAAAGTTGGAATGGACATGCTCCTTATACAGTCATAGCACAGAATTTTACGCAGAACATCTGACCTCATTTATAAATAAACAGCTTGGATTTGAAGACAAATGGCATGACTTGTTTTCCCAACACAAACACATCTAGTCTTACTGCAATACTAAGCATAGTTAATGAGCTCATTATGTATGAAAATATTCAGTTTCTGTATTTTACACCAATATCCATGCACATTTGCTAAGACAAATACAGAAATGTTAGGAACCATCAAACAACATAGGTATGTATGACGACAAACTGCAGCGATAAGTGGATCGCTTCAATCACAAGGCTATCGGGTTACATTTCTTCTGAAAGGTCAAAGGTCAGATGTCAATCATCTTCCCCTGGCCCCGCTCCGACCCACCTGTTGATTTTTTTTTTCATCCAATCTATATTTAGGCACTACTAACAACAATAACTATTCTAATTTGCATACAATTTGCATATTTAAAATCCATCTGTTGTTATTAGCTGCGGGCGGCGGGGTTGGGCGCAGACTGGACCATCATTCTTTTGTCCTTGTTGGTTTTAACACACAATAACACAATGCAAAAATTAACACAGAACCAAAGTTTAATGAAACAAGACATCGTTCAAAATCAACGTACACGTGTGACATTGGTCTAATGTGTTTTTTTTGTTTTAACCTTCTCCGATTGACATTCTGTTTAAGTTTTAACAAACGAACCAGATCGAAATAAGTTATCAAGATAAGGGAAGGAAAGACAGCGATAAATGAACAAACATAAGGGAGGTTTACCATTGCAGTTTAATTCTGTGTAGGATTTGTTGAGTACTAGTTGGACAATAACTTGCTCAATTCACCGGCAGCGATGCGTCAAGCTGCCGTATATTTAATCTACATTTGCAGTAAGCTTTGTTGATGTTTTTGGTTTCATGACTAGTTCATAAAATTAATTTCATAAGCTATATTTAGTCAGCGATACAAGGAATAATTATTTCTCAATATTTATGCGATTTACCAGCATTTCATTAGAAAAGAAAACTTGTTTCCACTTTGGCTGTAACGAACGGGCGACATGGTTTGAAAAAAAAATGGCTGCCAGGTCAGAGGTTAATGTCTAAAATACGTATTTTAGACGTGATTGGGAAAATAAAGCGTATATACTTTTTCACTTTCATCATAGCAGATTAATTTTACATTGAAATATTTAAAATAAAAGTTAAATTAATTAAAGTAGTTATATTGTAACTAGTAGGATGGCAAAATGAATATTAATTAGCTCATGAATATTAATTAGCGACCGGCACTCAAATCAGGCTGGGAGAACCCTGCATGAGTATCAATAACAGTTTTCACTTTTTCTTGCTATACAAGATTACATCCGGTTCGATTTATTGGACCGAATCGGCATGGCAACATAAGCATGAGGTACTATGTTACAAGATAAAATATGGAAAACGAAAGCATAACATATTGAAAATATTATTTCATTGATACACACAGCACAAGTCGTACACATGTATTAGTATTTTGAAACAGCGAAAAGACTTCAATTCCTATAATAGGTAATATGAAACGGGGATGTGCAGTACATTGTTCATGTCAAACGTAAAAGTAAATGCGAGTAGATATTTCGTCAATCGCCATATCATATTATTTGTTAAACACGATAAGGGATTTCTGTCGTGGGCGATTCATTAAGTCGAATCACTACCAGATGCAACAATCTGTTGTGAAATATGATTGTGAACGAACATATTTACATTGGCTGCTTACCTTTCTTGTCCTTAGAAGGCCATATTAAATATGTTGCCGGTATAAGAATAAGAGCGTAGACAGAAACCACGAAATAGAGAAATGCTCCGCCAGATTCGTCATACGTAAACTGAGCCCTCGCCATCTTGAAATCCACGCTCGTAGTAACCGCAGCTGACGCTGAGGGCGCTTTTCTTTCGGGTCATGAAAATGACCTGAACAAGTCTAGCGTTTAGAATGTTCTATTAGGTCATGGTATATCGCCTCAAAGTGTTGGTATAAGTAACCATACTTGAATAAATGACAAAGCAAGTTTTGGGAAATTGGAGTCTTGGGTGAAAAATCGATCCTTGGTCTAACCTATGCACATTTGTTAGTTGCGACCTCTACGCATGGAGCCGGGAACAGCCACTGGTGGCGCTGTATACAATCGAAACCTATTCAGGTGAGGGAGATGGTAAGCTTACAGCTCAGACAACTAATAAAATAGTTGACTGAGGTTACTGGAAATAAAAGGCATTTTACGTTTTTAAACGAAAAAGAATGAAAATTTTATACATTTTACCTGTCACCCCATTGTTTAATATTTTCCAGAATAGACCAGCAAAACAGGCATAAATTTTGTTTGTTTGCTTTTGTTTATTTTTTTTTCATTCACTGTATTTTTATGCCTATTGTGGTTGAGTTGTTTTTCAATAATTGTTTTCAATATAAATAGGTCGTCAGTTCTACGACAAACTTTTCTGAAACCAAACTATTGGTGTGACAAAATGTAATTTGAAATGAAACGAAAGTGGTTAGCATTGTATTTAGGATACTTGTAAATAGTTTGCTAAGGCAATTGGAGATTGCTATTCCCATGTAGTTTGAAGGATTAATTTAATTTGGATCCTGCTTTATGTAGGGAGAATTAACAATGACAGAATGTTATTCAGCACTCCAGTCATTGTCTAACAATAAAACACCAGGGAACGATGGTCTCTCTGCTGATTTTTATAAGACATTTTGGCCAGTAATAGGAAGGTATTTGCTTAATAGTATTAATTATTCATATCATAAAGGTCTATTGGGGTTTTACAAAGACAGGGTGTCATCACATTAATTGCCAAAAAAGGTAAAGATAAAACATATATTTCAAATTATCGGCCAATATCTTTAATTAATGTAGATGTTAAAATTGCATCCAAAGCTATTGCAAAGCGTATGCTTAATGTCTTGCCTTCCATAATTCATCCAGACCAATGTGCATTTGTAAAATGCCGCTATATTGGAGACACTATACGAACAGTTCTTGATCTTATGTGGTACTCTAAACAGAATGATATGTTATGTCAGGCATTTGATTTGGTACTGGGCATAAATGTAACCTATGATGAAAAAAAGTTCTTTGAAGAAAATTTTAAAAATAAATTAACAAAACTGAAACAAATGCGTAATCTGTGGTCTCAAAGATCACTCTCAATTATTGGTAAGATTCAAATTTTTAAACATTCGGCCTTTCACAGTTTCCCTTTATAGCAACAATGATTCATACACCAAAACTAGTTCTCAAAGAGATGAAACAGATTATATTTAAGTTTATTTGGAACGGGGGAGACAAAGTTAAAAGGAATACATTGATCTCTAATATTGAAAATGGGGGTTTTAATATGATTGAAGTTGACTCTTTCATAAAGGCACAAAAAATAAAATAGGTTAAAAAATTTATCTCTGGTGGTTTTGCTGGATGGAAAACTTTATGAATAGGGTTTTATGGGGTTTTGGAGCAATATTATTTTTTTGTGTAACATTGAGATGAAAGACTTGATAAACAAGGTCCCACTCTTCTATTATGATATTTTACAAGATTGGTCAAAAAATTCCCATATAAATCCTGAAACTGTACAGCAAATTGGTAGCCAGATACTTTGGAATAATACATTTTTAAAGATTGGTAACCATTCAGTGTATTTTTGGAGATTGGTAATTGGGGATTTATTTGATACCAATGGAAACTTTTATAAATTATTGTCGAATTTTTCCAAATTCAGAGCATAATAGATGCTATTCCAAGGGAATGTAAAAGTATAATTCATAGAAACAGACATACAAAGGTTGATTATGGTGAAAGGATTTATTGCAAATCCTCCTATATAGATATTAATTCAATTACAAGTAAACAAATTCATAAATTGTCATGCATAGATATTGTTGAGACTCCAACCATTGTCAGCCGATCTCAAGAACTGTATGGTCTATCCTCTGAAATGAGTAATGTGATATTTTCACTTCCTTTTCAGACAACTATAGCTTCAGCTATGAGAGCCTTTCAGCTTCAAATTTTACATAGATACTTACCTGTTAATGCAAAATTATTTGAATGGAGCCTTGTAAATTCTCCTTTGTGTTCACTTTGCCAATTGTATAATGAAACAATTGAACATATTTTATTGACTGTCACCATGTTCAAAAAATATGGAATGCATTGTAGGCAGGGTGTAGTATTATTCAACAAATAGAGTATAATAAAGTAAATATAATTTTAGGTATTTTAAATAATGACAATCTAATTTTGAACCATTTCATTTTACTGTTCAAAAAGTATATTTATAGCTGTAGAAGAAATGCTACAATCCCTTCTGCAATTGCGTTTAAATGACTAGTCTGTGAAAATAGAAAAATAGAGTTGGAAATAGCCCTATATAAAGGAAAGGAACAATATCACTATCGTAAATGGGAGCTCTTAAATAAATTAATCTTGTTTTTGTTTTTGTCTCACCACCGTATACCAGACAGCGTTTGTCATGTACATTTTTTTTCCAGGGAGGATTTTGTCATCTGTTCTGTATCTTTTCTTTATTGCGGAATAAAAAAAATTGTTATTAACACACACAAAAAAATCATGCTTTATGTATGGGTATTATTAAACTTGTACTCCATGCATGTGGGAAGATATTTGCACCGTAAATAGAGTTAAATTTGGTCTTCTGCAGTTGATTTATTGTTTTTCAATAATCTAATTGCTTGTTTAATTTCTTTTCTCTGTATTGGTCCATCCAAATTAATTTTAATAGCATCAAGTTCCTTAATTTCCCTATTTCTAATATCTGATATAATATCGTCTTGTTCTTCTGTATTTTTACCAGGTTTAGAATTTAATAGATATTTTAAGTGTGTCAACCATTTATCTGGTGCTATGCAATCACTCTCTGACTTTTGTGTATGCGCGTCATTGTTTAGTTCGCTCATTTTTTTGCAGAACTAGGAATTGTTACCTTGAAGGCTCTCAATTTCGCTGAGCTGATGTACTTTAATTTTTTTTTTGTACTTGAGGATTTTTTTAATTGTTTACGTGTTTTGAAGAATATTCCTCTAACAATAGGGTCATTGAGAAATTTCTGAATTAATTTAGTATACATTTTAAGTTCATTACGTAATAGGAAGTTCTTCCAATACTTTATTGAATAGCTCTTACAGACCACGAACGGGTACATCAGACTTTTTTACTAGTGGTGAAATTATTTTGACTTTGAAATAACAGAAAAAATGTTGGTATAAATTTAAAAAAAAAAAAAAAAAAAAAAAAACGTCCAGTATTCAGCGTTTCTGATCAAATTCACAATTGACGTAATAGTACAAAGTACACTCGATCAGCGGTAAAGAACTTCTGAAGACTTGATTAATTTCAAGTTGCGCGCCCTCTAACCAACATGGCTGTTATACTTTTGTTTATTTATAGTCGTACACAGTTGGATGTAGGTCAAATGGTACCGGGACATCAATGTCGCTAATCATGTTTTGGACACGGGCATTTTGTGTATTACTCGTTATAATTACAGTTTGCCATTCAGACAGCCCTGTGCCGGCACCAAGGTACATACTTAACTTAGATGTAGCACCAGAGAAGAGATGGAACGATATTGTAAGCCACTGGAATCTAACAAAAATACACGAAGAATTGGCGTATGTTATGAAGTACGTAGAAGTCCATGTTAAAGTGAACACATTTTATCGTGAGATGTCCCAAGAGCGCTTTTCTTGCCATGGAGAATTTTTTGTTATATTTCTTAAGCATTATTTTTTATGAATTTGTGGAATAACGTTGGTTTGACAAGTATGGACCAGTATCCACCAAGGTAGCTCTGTGTACAGGTCTGTGAATGTGGAGGCGCTCCTATTCATCGGGACCTTATCTGCGCCCCAATACACAATGGGGTGGCGTAAGAAGCCCAATGTAAATATCACCCCTACACAGCCATGTACGCAGGGCTACCACCAAGTGGGACAGGTATCTGCATTTCCACGGTTGGGTGAAACTACAAACTGTATAAATATAGGGGGGGGTCAAGAGATTACAGGAGATAAACTGAGTTTTCAAATACTGTTGTCATGTGCGATGAACATGTATTACTTCGCTACTGTTCTGATAAGATATTGGTCAGTTCACTTATTTAGTCAGGACAATTTGAGACAGAAATGTAGTAGGTTGCACTGATTCTTTTATTGTGTTAATTTTTTGTTAATTTTTACATGCAATCACCCCCTCAGGTGCATGGTTCAAACTATATTTTTATTGAAATAATACGTTATTGTTATCTTAGAATTGCTGTGTAGAATAACCTGGAGAGCTCGATATTGATAATTGTTCTATACAAAAATAATTCATGCAATGAAAACAATTCTTTTCATTTTTGTAAATATTTATAAATTTCAATGACAGTTGAATCAAACCAGCCAATCAATAAGCATCAAGATCGATGTCTATGACAACGGAATTTCAGTGAAATACCACTGCCACAAAGTTTGATGAAATGTACTAACTTGGATGAACTGAATTGTTTGATGGCATTTATTGTATTCAAATTTCTATAATCCACCTTTGTCATGATCATGATAACAAATCAGACCTAGGATCAATGATTAATAACGAAGAAGATGATAGGATTAAAAATTTATTGACCAATTTTTGAACTGTACAAAGACAAAGTCATGTATGGCGGTGATGGTGGTGGTGGGTGGGGCCTCATTGATCCCTGGATTGGAAAGTGTAATATAGTATTTGTTTGGATATCATCATGAACATAGTTATCAGGACAGTAGTGAGGTTATACATGGTCATAGCACGTCACAACTGTATTTGAAAACTCGGTTTATCTCCTGAAATATTGATACATTTTTGTACCCTTGTTACCGTGGATACAGCTTGGTTATTTCAATTTCAGTGCATCATAATAATCTCTGCATATTAATCATAATGTTTGATGCTGAAATAGATTTTTAATATTTTCACTGATAGCTGAATGTGTTAAAATAACCTTTTCACCACCAGTTCCCTCTTTTCATCAAAAATTCACAAAATAGTCCTGTTTATAGTCTGCACTTTTCTTCAGAAGATTGCAAATTTTTTTTTAATGAAAACTGAAAATTGACTTAAATTTTGTCTGTTGGCTCCAAAATTAGGGTTCCTTTCCAGAAATATTGAAGAATATAAAAAAAAGTGCAGTATTAAAAAGGTTAAAACCCGGTGTTGGAATATTTATCTTTTAATTTCATTTAGGGAAGAAATCCCTGAAATGCTTGTCCCAGTGGTTGAGCTCCTGGCATCCGATATAGATAAGTACATTCCAGAACCATACAGCAGTGAAATGGTTGGCGTTGCTAAAGCTATGGGCATCAAACTTGGAGATATCGTAACATTGAATCTTCTCTATGATATCACAGCGTGAGTATTATATTTCACCGGAGACTCTTGCTATCCCCAATGGGTTTCCATGGCAATAGTTTTTTTTTAGGGGTGATATTTCATTATTTGCACCTGTGAAAATGATTGTCACTGCAAGTACATGGATGGGTTTGGTAGCCAATAGGAATCCTCCATTTATTGGTTACTTCAACGTGTCAGCTTTTCTGATTGGCTATCATTTTAATTCAAGCATTTCTACTTGTACCTGTACTTTGTAAGTAAATTGACTGATAAGAAACAAGATTTATTGTACAGCATATCTTATCCTTCCCAGGGTGTATGTGACACAAAATGCACTGTGTACCTTGGGTATGTACCAATAGCAGATAGGATAGCTATATTATTAGCGCATACCTTATGTAAATGATAGAAGTGTGTCATGTTCTAGTAATCAGCACAAAATAAATATAATTTTTATTTATATTCATATACACTTCTTAAAAATTAAATACAGTATGATAAAGATTCAGCATTTGCTTTGTGGCCTGAATGTTTAATTTTATGTGCATTAATTATTTGATATTAATTAGGTCTTGTACCAGTATTGTGGCTGAAGATAGCAATGGACAGATATGGCACGGTAGAAACTTAGACTACACATTTACATCAATTCTGAGAAATTTAACACTCACATATGATGCCCAGATAAACGGAACAGTGAGTACACACCAACTACTGGCATTTTTTTTAACATTTTGTACACTTTAGTTGATTGCAGGGGAGTCACCTGCGCATGCGTCAGATGGCCATAGCGTGCCATTGTTTACTAACAAGCGTCTACCCATGAGCCTTTTGCGTTTTTAGCATGTGTTGTTATCGTCGCTTGGGACTCAATTCCTGCGCATGCACAGGTGACGACCCTCCCGCTTTAAACATTCTATCACCAAAATAAACAAGATTGGAAAAGTTGACGGTTTTCCCAGTCAATATTATTTTTGTTTCATAATTGGCAACCATTTTATTTTTCATTCCCGGTTTAGCATATGCAGGTTATTTGAAAAAAAAAAAGATATTTAACATTGTATTGTTTTGAGACTCATTGTATTGTTGCAATTTGTTAAATTTCCTGAGTTAGTCGTCAAATTGGAGTAAATAACACAGATAAGGGCAAATCATGAAATTTTGTATTTGTGAGAATTTCCCAGAATCTTTAAATGATGCATTCTGAGGGCTCTATTTGGTTTTAGCACTACTGTAAAAGGATTAATTATTCACTGGGTTTTAATATTGCTTATTTCGCTGACTGGAAAATGTGCTAAATTAAAACCCAGTGAGTATATGAAATTGATCTTAGAACACGTTATTTAAATGATAAAACCATGAATTTAAAACCCACTGAATATGCCTGAAATGCTAAATCATTGAAATTTAAACCCAGTGAAAATTAGTCATTTTACAGTATTATGTGAAATATATGATGGTCTGATTGTATGCCAGTCGTAGGAAATATCTAAGTTCAAATTGAATATTTTTGTGAATCATGCAAATTGGAATAATAATCTTTATTATACATCTGTCACCGTAACTGTAAGTTACATCGTGCCGTAATTTTGTGGTATTTTCGGAGTATTTCCATCCTATCATATTAGGAAATGCAAATTCCAAATATGGAATGATTATGCGCGTAGCGTCCTCTAATAGTAAATATAAACAGGGCTGCCACTAGGGTTTGACCGGACTCCACACAAAGAAGTTTGCTGATTCTGTTCTAAATTTTTTGGATTTCAGCATTCCCATGATGTATCCTTGGAAAGAAAAGATGTATAATAATAAGGTTATTATGAGGATACCTCAAAGTATGCATTCAGACAGTACGCCGTCGCAAGGACCTCCGCTGCGCGCCGGTCGATACTCCTGCTGTACTGTCTTCGTGCATACTTTAAGGTATCCTCGTAATAACCTCATAATAGCATTAGCACATGAAATTTCAATAAAATATCAATTAGGATTCTGAAACAATATTGCTGTGTCCCAAGTTCAATTACCAATGAATATTTAATGACAATTTCTTGTTGCAATATATTCCTTTCTAGCTCTGAGCTTTCTTATTTTCAGACTGTCTTCACTGCTTCCACATTTCTTGGTTTTGTTGGCGTTCTCACTGGTATCAAACCAAAAGTATTTACACTATCTATTGACGAGAGAGGTAACTGTATTTTTTAGAAGTTTTTTCATTTTATCAATCCAAGTATTATTCGGGAAAAAAGTTGTCCATCCAAATATTCAAATGTAAAACAAACAAATTTGATAATAATTTTACCTATATGCTGTGTAATGGTATGCATCGGTGAAAAATGAGAATAAAAAATGTTAAAAAAATAGTAATCACGCAGGAAAAGAGTTTTGTATTCCTAACCCTAACTTTAACCCTCTCTCTGACCCCCCCCCCCCAAATTTTCTACACCCTCTAGATAACTATAGGTGTCCTTAGGAGGTGTATATGCAACTAAATTGGGGAGCGGTGGTCGGTACGAGTAGAGTTAGAGATAGGGGTGCAAAAGGAACACTTTCCATCATGCAGTATATAACAGTATTTTAACAGCTGCCGTTGTAAAATGTAATGTCATATCGGTTTGTGATGCGTTGTCTAAGGCACACACAACACTTCAAAGAAACTAGTGAACCTTCTTTTTTATTCTGACATTCCAAGCAACCTTATCACACTGCATTGAGAATATCAATGCGCAGTGGTCTGGTGGCATTAAAAAGTGTGTTCTGATGCATCATCTAAAGTAGTCCCAAAATCATTGTATTGACATTATGATATAAATTTGATGATAATAATAATAATTCTAATTTTTTTTTTTAATGGCAGATCAAGGTGAATTATGGGAGAACTTGATAGAGTTGGTGAATGCATTGCTGATGGGAGAAGCCTCATTAGTGACTTTACTGTCCCGAGATGTAAGTATGGAACTATCTAACGTTTTGCAATGTCATTTGGAAAACTATGAAAGTGATTTGAGAATCATTTTTAATTCTGGTTGAATGTGTGCATCAGTGTGATTCAAAACCGATCAGAGATTCTGCCTGTATACATCTGAATGGAAATCTGTTGAACATTGAACAGTGAAGCCTGTGTATAGCGACCACCCAATTTATAGTCAAACGTATGTATAGTGCCCACTCAATGTACACGTCAAACGTGTATATCAAGTTCAGCCACCCAATGAACAATCAAATCTGTGTATAATGACCACCCAATGTAAAGTGAAACCTGTGTACAGCGACCACCCAATGTAATGTCAAACATGTGTATAGCAACCACCCAATTTTAAAGTCAAAGCTGTGTATGGTGACCACCCAATGTACAGCCAAATTTGTGTAGTGACCACACAAGGTACAGTCAAACCTGTGTATAGTGACCACTCAAGGTAGTCAAACCTGCATATAGAAACCACCCAAGGTACAGTTGAACCTGTGTATAGTGACCACACAAGGTACAGTTGAACCTGTGTATAGTGACCACACAAGGTACAGTTGAATCTGTGTATAGTGACCACACAAGGTACAGTTGAACCTGTGTATAGTGACCACACAAGGTACAGTTGAATCTGTGTATAGTGACCACACAAGGTACAGTTGAACCTGTGTATAGTGACCACACAAGGTACAGTTGAACCTGTGTATAGTGACCACACAAGGTACAGTTGAATCTGTGTATAGTGACCACACAAGGTACAGTTGAACCTGTGTATAGTGACCACACAAGGTACAGTTGAACCTGTGTATAGTGACCACACAAGGTACAGTTGAATCTGTGTATAGTGACCGCACAAGGTACAGTCAAACCTGTGTATGGTGACCACACAAAGTACAGTCAAACCTGTGTATAGTGACCACTCAAGGTAGTCAAACCTGCGTATATCGACCACCGAAGGTACAATCAAACCTGTGTATAGTGACCACCCAAGGTACAGTCAAACCTGTGTATAGCGACCACCCAAGGTACAGTCAAACCTGTGTATGGTGACCACACAAAGTACAGTCAAACCTGTGTATGGTGACCACACAAAGTTCAGTCAAACCTGTGTATAGTGACCACTCAAGGTAGTCAAACCTGCGTATATCGACCACCGAAGGTACAATCAAACCTGTGTATAGTAACCACCCAAGGTACAGTCAAACCTGTGTATAGCGACCACCCAAGGTACAGTCAAACCTGTGTATAGCGACCACCCAAGGTACAGTCAAACCTGTGTATAGTAACCACCCAAGGTACAGTCAAACCTGTGTATAGCGACCACCCAAGGTACAGTCAAACCTGTGTATAGCGACCACCAAGGTAGTCAAACCTGTGTATAGCAACAACCCAAGGGACTTCATTAAAATGGTCTTTATAGACAGGTGGTCTTTTTATGAAGGTTGGATTATTTTTTTTATGAATTGCATACTCATACATTCAACTCATTGTACAGAAAATAATAAGACGCATTTATTGGAGTTGAGCAGAATTAAATAAGTTTGAATTCAAGAGAGTGATAATTATTATTTTGATCCTTAAACAAAGGTGAATAAGCAAAAATGTTGCTACCGTAAAATCTGTATTAGAAGCCGCATCCCTAATAGAAGCCGCATCTCTAATAGAAATCGCATCTCTAATAGAAGTCGCATCTCTAATAGAAGTCGCATCTCTAATAGAAGTCGCATCTCTAATAGAAGTCGCACCCATTCTTTTTGAACAATTGAGAAGCAAACATTCATCATTTCTCATATGTGCACATGCTCTAATAGAAGCCGCAACCCCTCTGTGGAATTGTACCATTTTAATAGAAGCCACGGCTTCTAATACAGATTTTACAGTATAGGGTTTTCACATAGGACAGGTGGTCTTTATTCATTATGCCTTGGGTAGGCCTAAAAGTGGTCATGATAGGCTTTATAAAGAGGTTTGACTGTAGATGTATATTATGCCATTAGTTTTATCAGTTATTTTTTTCTCTCAAGGCCATGATGAAAGCGAACACTTTTGAATCTGCTGTCAAGTTGATGAGTGAAACCCAGATTGTAGCACCGGCATATTATATCATTGGTGGAGTTCAGCCTGGAGAGGGCGCTGTCATCACCAGAGACAGGTTAACAGCAAAAGATGTTTGGAGATTAGACTCTAAAAATAAAAGGTGATCATTGAACCCTGTATCCCCTAGCAACAACAAGTCCGTCGCTGAGAATTCCTAAAATTGTCGTTTTTAGATTCAGGTCTTGTATGCAGACCTTGTTTTCATTTTGACATAGCATGTATTATGGAATATTTTTGTCATTTTTGGTAAAAAATGCTGGTATTTGTATTTATGGATGTCTGTTCCACCAATATCTAAAGAACCATCATTATATTTTACTTATGCACAACTCCTGTTTTCAGTAGAAATATATGCATGTTACTAACAGTGTTAAACACTATCATACCCTTTACTCTAAATGAAATGTCATTTTTTGGGGGCAAAAATCATTGACTGATGGGCCAATTGGTCTATTTTTTTAATTGATAACATTGTGAGATATTCATAAAGCTTTGAATCATTATATGAAGTATTTGGTGGTCTTTTTGCAGGAATTTTGTGAAATGTGTATGTAGTAAACATTAAGGTAGAGATGCAGTTTACCTGACAGGTATTTTAATTAGTTAATTAGGAAACCAAGATGACCTCCCTTGTCCACAAAACTATATATTTTCGGAAAGCTTATTGTATGAATTTTAAAATTTTGTTAGTATTTTTTTTCTATGGACACTGTAGTTTGAAATATGCACAAAAATGTGCTTTTTTGGTCAAAAGTGATTAAAAAAAAATTAGCTTCTAAACCATGCTTCTGTTTCCTGTCAAAAATGGTTTATGGGGTACATCTGTTTATTATGAAGAAAGTGCCGTCTTGAAAACTGTCTACCAGTTGTCAATTTT